TAGGACGAGTGTTTAGTTATCACGAATGAAAAAGGGCAGTATGGCGGTGGCTGAGTGGGGAAGAAGGTGGGACAAGGGCAGTATGGCTGAGTAGGGAAGAAGGTTCTTGTGCGTGCCACACCCATGTCTCGTCCCATTCCCCTTTAGCCAAAACGTCTCGCCTCATAACCCCTGCTGAATTTCAAGAGAAAAACAGACTGCCAGCAGTCTATGATTTTAATGACAATAAAGACATTTTCATCTAGTGCCTTTGTCTATGAAGAAATGTTAAAGATTTCAAGCCACATAAATAAGCCATCAACTCAGTACGACAGTTCTTCTTTGTTTTCAAAATTAATGCAGCTCTGAAAGATACCTTGATGGGTAAAAACACTGGCTGGGAGCATTCTGTCCAGAACAACTTAAGTGATGAATATCAAAATTACAATACACCCTTACGGGAGACAACCAGTATTCCTATCTCTTTCACATGGAAAAGCCCCTCCTCTGACGATTTGTACAAAGAAACTGATGAACTGGACTATTAATGATGTACTATCTGACTGCAATGTTTCTATAATGTTATAAACATTTGTACTATTTTTGACCAGAAAGGGATGGAAAATGAAAAGTCAAAAAACAATTGTCACAGTAATTCTTCCACTCCTTAGTGTCTTCAAATTTGAGGAAAAAATATTATTCCAAAATTGTATTTTGCAAAATATTCAAGAACATAACAACACAAGTACTTGAGTAGCTTTCAGCCCAGAATAAAGTTTGGGACTTGTAGATACATGTAGTATTACTAAATGTAACACTTCACTGTGGATTGGTGAAGATTTCACGGAAAATACCTGAGTTGTAAATGTTAATGGAAAAAAACTTGACAATAAAATTGATCAGTTTCAAGATTTTGTTTACTTAGAGGCTCCTGTAGAATGATTCCTGACAGAAAATTGATTTTGACTTTACTGCAGACTAAATTACCAATTGAAAACATTTTGTTACAGTGATCTTCACAAATATATTACCATCCTAATACATTATATGAATATTAATATATTAGTATTAATATATATTGGTTATGCAACCCTTTCGAGTGGTGTACCATGAAATATCCCACTTGTCACTTGTATTTTCTTGGTATACACACTCGCCTACAGGCTTGTGTGTATACCAAGAAAATACAAGTGACAAGTGGGATATTTCATGGTACACCATGAGAGGGTATTGCATAACTATTTTATACAATGACATAGAAAATACGGTGGCTAACACAATCAGTGTGACATACACACGCCACATGATGGGAAGGTTGGATTTGATACCTCGTATATACAACGGCTTTCCTGTATTTTGATTGGCTGTATTTTCTATGGCATGGTATAAATCTTAATATATTATACACATCTTTTTGTCACTTGAAAATGTTCAGACTGTTATTCAGGTGAAGTAACTGTTGTTAGTATTCTTCAACATCGACTCCTGATTTCTGTAAAAAACAACAGAAAAGCATGACAGTGTTCTCCTTTTCAAGGGCATCCACAGGTATCAGAGAAAAGGCAGGTGTAAGAGCACTACTCCTCTCCAAGCTCCTATAAATAAAGTCCTGTGCATGCCAATGGTCCATAATATCTTTGACATAGAATATCTTCATGTACATCACATGAGCGAGTATACAATTGTGGTGTGATGTGCAGCATTGTAACTCTGTAACAAATGTTTCCATGACTTTGTCCAAGTTGCATTCAGTAGGTGTACACTCTGCAGGGAGCAAAAGAGTAATTTGTGAGTACTTATGCTTCCAGCATATGGTCTGAGATTAAGTGTTAGCCTAGGGAGGAAAGGGGACACATGAAGGATTTTAAACGAAAAAAGGATTATACCACAAGATTTCCAGATGGCTTTACAATGTATTGTAAGACCAAAGAATTGGCCTAAAACCTAACATAATGGACTGCCAATCAAGCAGTCTGGGTTTAAGCCCTGAGTGAAGTAATTGCATTGTGTTCTTGGGCAAGACACTTTACTATCACAGTGTCTCTCTTCACTCAGGTGTTTTGATGAGAACCAGCAAATTTAACACTAGAGACAATGTTGCGATCTGCTAGGAGGTAGTAGAAATATCCCTAGTTTCTTCATGCTACTGAACTGTGAAATAAAGCATGTTATTCCAATTCCAAGATGGTGTAGAGGAAACCACGAATTCCCATGGCTATTGTGTGGTACCATACTTGCACAGAATCAACTGGATAACAAGGTACTTCATGTATTGTAATTATTGACACACATCAATCAATTGGGAAACATGTTTGGGCAAAATAGTTGTTTAATGAAAAGAATTTGAAGCCCCCAAGAGGGAGAGCGGGTTGCAAGACTATATAGGTGAAACAGACCATGAGGGAATGAAATATGAGACTAGAAAGCTGATAATTATTGATACAATCGATTATCTAGTAATTAACTGAGTCTTTTGATCTGAATCACAACTTACATAACTATTACAATGTTCCAGAACCCTTTACATGATTGGCACAGTTGAAAAACTCACCAACTGCAATGTTTACAGCAACACTGTAGTTACTATTTCCTCTGACACCAATGCTTTGTACACCAACAGTGAAATTCTCGCTATGTACAGTTGTCGAGTCATCTGGTACATTGAAGACAACATAATGATAAATTAATTTTACTGACTTCATTATTTAACAACTGCACAACAAGTACAGTACATGTACACAAAACCGCAGTAGAGTGGTAAGTGTACACGATTATACAGGGTACACAGTCTCAATACTGATTCCAAGGGACTAGTTAGAGAGTTTGTTGTAAGCTGTTAGTTGTTGACAACTAAAATGAGTAGGCAGTTATTATATAGTGCTCAATAGTAGGCACTTTCCATTCGAACAAAAATTACAAAAATTTCAAAACAGGGACAAATGGTAAGGAAATTTACTCAAAATTGTTGAATTTCCGAAAAGTGAACCATTCATCTGAAAATTCCACGAGGAAAGTCAAATGGGATGGAAATTCCCATATATACCCTTGAAAGGTTGTCCTCTTTTCTGGAAACTCTGGAAAATGCTGTTCCATTCACCACTGGAAATTTCCAGAACTGAAAACTGGAATTGTTGGTCAAATGGACAGCACCTAGCAGTTTTCTTTACACTGGAGACCAAAGTTATTGATAACTTAATTTTTAGGCAAGAACTTAGTAATCGGCATGGTTTTGAACTTACACTGATGTTGGATCTGGTTTTCCAATGCCACAACATGCCATTCGACCTGGGCGTTCTTGGGCAGCGCAGGCACAATGATGTAAGACATCAACCCCACTGGAGATTGGTCTGACTCTATGCTGTCTCTGCTCTGTTTTCAAACAAATCCAGATAATAGATTTTAAAACAACGCAACTGTTGTGGGCAAAAGTTATTGCCCTATGCATCTATTATGAGATGTAACATGCTAGGCTAAATTGAGTGATATCTAATAGATACATCTTTAAGTGCACTTCTAAAGAACTGTTCTTTAATAACATACAAGCAATCGCAATACAGATAAAGTTTTTTTTAAACAATTGAAACATCAATCAGTACATGTAATGTTAACATTGAAAAGATGAATGTAACTGGTTTAAGTGGCCATAAAAATGGGGTAAAATTTTAAAGGATTATACAGGTTGGTATTTCAGAATGTGGCTGTTGGCTGTATTAATGGGGTGGCCACATAAACAGGGTGTTCTTATACTGTAAGAAAAGGTATAGGTGTTTTGCCGGGACAAAAAAAGTGACCATAATAAGGAGATGACCATTAGATAATTATTATTAACAAGGTAATGGTAAGGCAGGGTTCCACTGTACAGGCAAACCACTAACAAGAGTAGTCCACCAATGGGAGAGTGACTGTATTTGTCCCATCACATTACACATGTATATATGACCCTGATGGAACCTGTGAGCTGATGTGTATGAAGGGTTCTCAACTATCATAAACAGAGGACTGCAACTATGTGGACCCCTTAAATAAATTGCAGTCACTTCTGACATTGCATGTTGGTGATGCTAATCCATAATAATGATTAGCTAGTAGTACGGTACGTGCACAATTTGTGCAAAGGGTTGCAACTACACAGTCTGAAAACATTACTCCCTCCACTTGCATTGCAGCACTATGTCTGCAGTGTGTCAGGAGTGGTGAATGGTAAATGCGAGACTTTGCAAAAAGGCGAGACTAGCGTTTTTTCTTTGCAAGCCCAAGCATTTTGACTTTTTAAATTGCAAGAACAAAACCTGTGCTTATTGTGATGTGGAAAAAAAATGCAATGTGACTACTTGATTGTTCAGTTATAAAAATAGTAGATCACTAAAGCGTAACTGTTCCTTTGATAAGACAGTTCTCTTGTCTTACCTTAGGATTTGACATTTGGTGCCAAGAAGTTTTTGCAACTGACACATAAGCAGGTGAAGTTAGAAAGCAAAATCCATGAACAATGCTCTTGAGTGACTCGCCTGGATTTAGAGCTGTTATAACTCTCTCCACATGTTGCAAAGACAGAGGAGCTTCCTGTGAGATGCCGCCTTGTATCATTGACATGGTTGGTGGCCACAAACCAATTGAACCAGACACAAATATCGTATCTCCAGCCTGCAGAATAAAACAAACAGTTTTAAGAGTACTGTTACATTCAATTTCAAAAACCTTCAACTGGAGCTATGCTCATTGCTAGGCATTCTGTCATCCTAAATAAGCAAGATCTGCTATAATAGACTCTAGTTACCTTAGTTGCTTGGCTGTAAGGACCAATATTTGCTGGTGCCCAGTGAGAGATGCTTTGAACGTGCATAGCTTCCCTAACTGAAGTGTCAGTGCTTTGAGCAGCATAAACAAGGCAGTCAGCCTGGATGGCAATGTCCTCTGGTAAATTCAGCTGGATGCAAGCTCTATGAAACATAAAACAGTTCTGCTAAAAAAGCTTTCCTATAATATGAGGTCAAAACCACGAACAGACCACAAAAGTGTCCATTAACAAGGTGTCTGTACCACCTTAAAAGATACTTTAAGAGAAGTTAAATTGTCAATGAAAGTAAACCAGAAGAAGTAAGAGATCAAAGTAATCCAAGGCTTCAGGCTTTGGGATGACTGAACGAACCAAAACAATATCTATCACATTGAAACTACCTGGGTATCTTTGCAACAACAAAACAGAAAACAAAAAACACAACCAAAAGAAAGTAAAAATTTATGCAATCCATTTAGTTTTGCACATGCCCTGGGCTTATTCATTTAACAGTATCTTTACCTTGCAGGAGGGTTCACCCTTAGAAATGTTTTATAAACTGCATTGATTTTTGCAAAGTCATCCATGTTCTTCACAAAAAGGTGAACTATCATTCCATCACACAAGTTTGCCCCCAGATTAGTAAGTGTGTCTACAGGGAGAATCAAATGACAACTGATGTTAGTATAGAAAACAGTAGAAACCGATAAATTCAATTAATTTGGTTTTTACATGGAGAGGTGACTGGTCCCAGGGTGCTTAAACTGGCAACCTGGGGCACTTTCTATTTGATGAAAATTCTGGTTTGAATTTCCAGAAATTTCTAGTGACGAATGGAACAGCAATTTCAAAATTTCTAGAAAAGAGGACAAACTTGTGAGGTAAACAGAAATTTCCTTTCCAATTGATTTCCTCCCAGACTTTCTGGAATTTTCAATTGAATGGTTCACTTTTCAGAAATTCAACTATTTCCAGATTTTCTGAAAACTTTCCCGGGAAAGTGCTGTTTCAAAATTTTCAGAACTTTTGGTTAATGAATAGAAAGTGCCTCTGGAGTGAAGGACCATTTTTTGTCACAGTCTCTCTCCTTCAGCGGCCTGCTATGGTTAAGCCCTCTACTGTAATTTCTCAGGTCAAAGCTCAGATGCTGATCCTGGGAGAGGAGACGTGAGTGTGCAAAGGTAGATACCTGTTTTCACTCTCTATGTACTGTACCGTGTGTGGAGGTCTCACCTTGCAAGTGTTGTAAAACATTTCTTGTTACGTCTTCAATTGTTAGCATTTTTCCGTCAACACTGCGATGGCCATAAATTCCAGACACCCAAATATAATTTCCACATCTGCTGTAGAGAATATGATCTGGTTGGAAAAAAAATTAAAATGACTGTATTTTAAACATTTTTATGACCATTATTTTCTTCACTCTGTTATTCTTCACGGCTTGGAAAACACCTATTAGTTTTATTTGAAGTTTAGTTTTTATTATCATTTTTAAAATTGATGTTTCAGAGTTGGCGTGATGTCCTCTGGATGTTGCAGACATAATAGTATTTCGAAAGATTGGATTTACATTTAGAAATAACAAAACAAAAATGGTCAATTCATAAGTATTTCCAGTAGCTGGAAATCAATTGACTACTGTTTAATGACTAAAGAGCTTTAATTAGTTTATTCTCTAGTCAAGTTTGAGTTCAGTGTTGTTACGGTACTTCTCCTGGGTAGGACAGCAAGACAATCTTCATGTACACGTTGGTTGTTGAAGAGGGAGAGATCCCAATGAACCTATGGAGCAAAGCTCAAGAACCAACAACAAAAACCCTATACAGAGAGTTTCCAGGCATAGTTGAACCTGAACCATAATATTTTGTGGTAGGTTAATACTCATGCAACTGCACAATCTATACTTTCCTTATTATGTACTGAAGAACTGAACAAAAAGAGACTGGAAGAAGACAGTGGGAAATGAAGCCTTCATGATTATTTTCAATCTTTTATCGTTGACATCTTACGGTAAGAAACAGATTCCTGAGCTTCATTAATTCTGCGCTTATCACCTTTCTTTTTTTCTTGTGATCTTGCAGGGATCTTGATTCTTTGTTCTTTACACTTGACAGTCCTGTCCTGTTCAGTATTTGTTACATCATCTAGCTTGTTAAAGAACAAATTTAGAATTAATGCAGAACCTTTGTAACAATGTGGAAACACACTATCTTCATGGTTAGTGCACTTGCCAACCGATAATGTGGTCTGGGTTCAAGCCCTCGCAAGGGACACTGTGTTCTCTTCTTGGGTAAGTCAATACCATATAGTGCCTCTCTCCACCCAGGTGTATAAATGGGTACCAGTGAAGTGTGGGGTAACCCTGATTTGGACTAGTTTCCCATCCAGGGGGGAGTAGAAATACTCCTGACCAAGTTGCCTCATGCTACTGAAACCAAAGATAAGCACTTGACTCTTTTGCAGACTTTACTCGTCTTCTGTGTTCTTGTCAAAAGACTTGTGCAGGTGCATTCTCCAGTTGTAAAAATATTTTTCTGCTCTAATTGCTACCTTCAAAGACATGTAATTTTCAAAAAATTAGAAGCCTACTAGCTAATAGTTTGTGAAGAGTACATGTTAAGTTCAATTTTGGGAGTGAATGGGTTAATTCAGAGCTGAAAAATTCTTACCTGTATTTGCAACTTGTCCAAAGATTCTAGACCTGAGGTGTGGTTTTTAAGACACTGACCAGACTGAAAACAAACAAAATTTAACATAGAATTGAGCACCAGGAGAGAGACTTCTGTTAACTCTAGCTATGCCTTTGATTAACTAACAGACAACTTTTAGAACTCAAAGAGATAACCAGTGCTTGATTGTACAACCTTTTCAATAACTTTCCAATTCAAAAGGACAGGATTGTGTGGTTCCAGAAGGCATCCATACCCACTCCAAGTATTGGAAATTCCAAGGGGGGGGGGGGGGGGGGGGGGGGGTTTCAAAAGTAAAAATTTATAAAGGAAAGTATGTAGTTAGACTGGAATTTCCAGGGGGCATGGAGGTAGGGTTCAAACTAAAAACCTTCCATGGGAGGGGTATGGTCATTTCTGAAACAACGCAATACAACCTCACATTTACCTGTCCTGTTTACTGTGTTAGAGATAACACACTTTCTAGCTTAGAAACTGATATCACTGAAAGTACTGAGAAAGAGGTTATAAGTCACACACGAGGTACTTGACCAAGAATACAAAAACCTGACATGATGTTTAAATATAGCTACATGCACTGTTTAGTTTAAAATGTTTTACAAAATCTTATGTTATCAAAAGTTTTTCTACAGGAAACATATATTACATTTAAGGAAATGAAGTCTTGCAGAAAAGAGAGTTCGGTCCTATGTTCAATTGTATCAGAACAAAATCTGTTGTTAGCACAAGCTGTTGATCAAGAGTCAATCGATTGTCAATCGAGTGTTGTTCCTTTTGATCAATGTCAGAGTGTTGATGGACACTCAACCGTTGATGCCTTCAATACACAACACCTATGAATCACACAATAATTATTGTATATTATCTTAGACAAATGGTATCTAGAATGGATGATCAAATTCTTTATGTCAAACAAAACAAAAATTCTCATACCATTAGGTAATGTGAGCACCTCCTTTGGTAAATTACTAAAGTATGCATGTCTCATGGCATCAGTGGCAGATATTCTGTTTCTTGGAACACACTACAGAACAAAATAGTAATGTAGTTGTGACTACTACAACAAATAACAGTAATCCCATTTCATCAATTTATAAAATCCATCCACCAACACAATGTATACATCTATATATACATTTCCTTTCAAATTTTAAAATCTTGGGGTAAATTAGTTCAAGTAAATGATAACAACATAAATAAATAATCCAATGATATAGTTATGGCATAAATTTATTTTGTTAAGCAAGTTCTCAAGATTAGTTGCAATAGAAACAACAAGTGTACGGCAAGTACCACACTCCTTTTAACTCTAACTTTCTTTTGTACTAAGTGATATCAGTTGAATAATACAAAGTACATGTTTTTCATAATTTGACTCACTACAGGTTTGTCAAAACAGCACAACTCATAAAATACAATCATCTAGTATGTTACTGAACNCGGGTCTTGAGGCTACTGTAAAATGTTTTATAGGAAAGTATGAACCAAAACTGGAATTTCCAGAGGGATGGGTGGGTGGGGGAACCAAGAATCCTCCATATGTATCATTATTATATGGTAGAGTAGTCTTGAGGTAAATCCATGTGTTCTGATTGGTTCTTTCTTGGTCAGGATTTTGCCATATGGACTGTTTCCATGGAAATGGTAAAACACCTAAAGGCCATTGACTTTTTTTATTTTGGAAGCTGGGAAATACAAAAAAAAACAGGCATGGCCTGAGTGCCATATAATAACCTTCTTACTAACCTAGCGTGCTCAAGCCATACTGGCAAATATTAGCCCTCAGTTGTTCTTGTCATTACTGTCACGACCTTGGGTCAATATTCCCCAGCACAACCTTCGGCTCAGTTAGTTAAAGAGGTTAATATTATCTGGAACAACACGGTCATTATTCCATACCTCATTCAATTCCTTCTGTTCCACATGCATTTTCTTAAAGTGGAGAAAACCCACAGGAGCAAAGGCATCATCTGAATGAATGACAACTTCACTTTCATCTCTGGCAATAAAATCACAAAAAACCTTCATTCCTTCAATGACAATATTAAAATATTGACACAATGTGACTTGCAACAGACTGTCTAATACACATAACTTTCAAACTCTTTCTACTAGAGACAGTGGATATTCCTGGTTTTCACTTCAGTGTACTCTTTCATAAAATTCTTACAGTTGTAATTTAATTGTAGTACCTTCTGCTTCAGTCTAGTGGTGACTCATTTTTGAGAGCTCCATTCATTGGATGGATTTTTTCAGTTCAAATCTTAAACGTATCTGACAAACTGGAGAACTCCTTTTCACGAAGACTAACAACAACAAATAACTGCAGCTTTTTCTTTCTTTTTTATTCATTCTTGTTTGACAGTATACAGTCCATATATATCACTTGTAAATAATTATACACAAGGATAACTTACATGACTATTCTTTGCTTGAACAGTGGGCAATCCAAAGTAAATGTTTCATATTCACCACCCTCGCCACAAACATTTGAGCCATACTTGTGATTCTAACAGAAAGGATAAGATCCATTTTGTGAGTCAAAACTGAGCCTGAGTCAATTTCGAGACACTTATCATTTCAAATTTGAAAAAACTCTATATTTTTGAAAGTAATAACCTGTATTGAGATTTTAGTGAGATCTTATTTGAAGGGTATTTAACTGGGAAATTTTAGCCTAACAGGTTCTTATATGCAGGTTTTTACTGTATTAATTTTACAATGTTTACCAGGTCAAAACACATTATTTTATGTAATAGTATGATTATTGCTTCTCTCACCAGATTGCACATTAGTGAATAAACTTCTGATATTGACAAGCCCAGATGTCTGTGTGGATTTAAGTCTACAAACAATCATATTTATTCAAAAATCAAAAAATTAATCAAGAAATTAAACCATTTAAAATATAAGTCACTTATGACTATTCTCTATTTTCCAATTCCCCAAAATTCACTCTGTTTGACCCCCAAATTTTTTGCTCAACAGGCATTAAAGGAAGATAACAGAGTTTTTCATTATTTTTTATTACTGAATTTATCCATTTATAATTATTTACTAAGTTATAAAGTGCTTGTCTGAATTTTTTTAAAAAAATAACAGGCCTGCATACCCATTGCAGCTACTTTGATCAAAACAGCTTCAATTCCTGCAGAGATCATTTCACTAAGCAATTCTGATTGGTCACGTCTCCAAAGGTAAGCCAGTGAAGATAATCCCAATCGGGAACACCTTGATATTTAAACAATAAGAACATATCATTAACAAAATTTTGTTGTGCTGTATTTTAAGTGCCTATGCAGGAGTTTCATTTAACATTTCAGCAAGAGGGCAACTGGTTTTCACGGCGGGCAAAACTTTTTGAACTGAACTTCTTTATGGGAAAAACTTTCTTTAAGATGTTTAAACCAGGCAGGTAAAATTGCCCTCACAGCTGGGCAATTTGCCCAGTGCCCGGCCCTTAATAAAACCCCTGCTATGAATATTCGAACAACAATCAACAATGCAAGACCATGCTCTTTGCATATGAAAGTTTTGAATGTCGCAGATATTTTTCTTGGTCCAAGCTTAGCTTTTGCAACTTGATTTGTGGGTAATTCTACACAAGGTTTTGGGTTTGAGAAATTCCAGGATTTTTTTTAACCTTTGACTTTTAAAACCCTCCAACCTAAGGCATTTCTAATTATCTTTTTTGGGTGTAGGTAGTTCTATTCTGGAACTGCAAAACAGTGAGAGTCATAACAATTAGGTCTTAATCGCCTATGTTACAAGCTAGTCACCATGAGGAAAAAATTCAGAATCCTCGACAGGTTGTAAACCAGGGAGGCCATAAGTTCAAATTTTCCTGGGGACTCAGAGTTGTTTTTCATCATGCAGCTACTTAATGGTATTAGATGGTGACTTACACATTTTCCACTCTGACTCTTTGGTAGTCTGATAAAATTGCTCCAACTGACACTGCATCAAATGCAATGTCCTCCTGTAAAATACAGAGGAATGCTATTGGTGATGAGGTAATTTCTACACCCTGCAGGGGGAATACTTACAGCTATATTAGTGACAAGGAGGGGCGAATGAAGCCAAATTGTAAGACCCCAAAAGCTTCTTTTAGCAAGCAGTCGCAAATGACACATCATCATCATCATCATCATCATAAGTGAGGGGTCTCAGGTCAAAAACCCATCAAGGTCAGCTACACGACCCAAAAAATTAATAGAAAATTTATCATGATTTGGTGGGAGCAGTGGGAACAGAGCATCACCAAAGCTCTCCATTCCTGTTAGTCCTTTGCAAGCCAAGTGGCTTACTCCCAGTTCAGGTTTAGAGCCTGATGTCTGCCTCTGCAGTCCTCTCCAGGTGGATTTCACACATATAATACAGTCGAACCTGTATTAAGCGGTCACCCTCTATTAAGCGGTCAGTTGTCAAAGTCCCTAAAATTACTTCCCTTAATTACTGTAATTTTGACCTCTATTAAGCGATCACCTCCATTAAGCGGTCGCGGCCACCCTCTACTAAGTCCCGACGAGCCCTTTCTATTGTCTTGACATGTATTAAACGTTCACTTTGTAAAAGGAAACCACTCAAATACTAGTTCATGCACTTACAAATAGCACACTAGGTAATTGATTTCCTTGTTTATTTTCACAAATCATTAAATTGCCGGATATTAATGTTTCTTCCTTGAGGTCAAAAGTCCTGTCAGTATTGCAGATCGAATTCTTCTTTCATTAATGTCGGTCTAAGCCACTAACACAAGAATTCATCCCCTTGAAGATGATATTCACATGGCACTTCTAGACCATAGCCACCTCCTCCGTTTACACACTTCCCTTCTGTCATTAGCTGTGATATAAAATGGCATTTTCACTGTTCTGAACTGTATTTTGTACAACCTGTATTAAGCGGTCAGCCTGTATTAAGTGGTCACTTAGCCATTCCCCGAGGGGTGATCACTTAATACAGGTTCGACTGTAACATTATCCCAAAAAAGTGATCAGGTCATGCAAAATATTTTCCAAAGCCCACGACCAAATTATATTTGAGTGGTAAGAGACATTGTGTGAGTTAAAACTCTTGCTCAAGAACACAACTTGACAATGAGTAAGACTGTGTAGCACCATCTCTTGTTAAGGAACAGAAAGTACATGATTGTACAGTGTACCTTGATATTCTTTAGAAGCTTGTATAAGTCTTCAACTTCATCTTGGTCATTTTCTTTATAAACTTTTCCTTGATCTACTGAGGAGCCCTGGATTACTCCTCGATACAAAGGCAGGTCCATGGCTTGTGCATAAAGGTCAATGGCATTATGGCCTACTGTCTGGTACATGTAGCTGTCAAGCTCGTTAACTGTCATTTAGAAAAATTGAACCAACTCAGTGGATTTTTAATTATCTGAACCTTGATTTTCCTGACTTTCTCTATACTCTACTTCTCTGGATCATCTGTATTAAAAGCATCTGCAGTGAAGTGTTGATTGACACCTGGATAGATAAACTCGATCGATACCCATGATCGACCCTCCATCGACGCTCCATTGATACTCCATTGACACCTCAGTTGACACTCAATCGATGCTTGATCAACATCTCGGTAAGCAGTCAGTCATGAGTCAACTTCTTTTGGAATGACACATGTGAGTTGGTTGACACTCAGCCCACTATTGGCTGACTGTTGATTGAGTGTCGATCAATGTCAATCGGGATGTTGATAAAATGTGAACAAGTATCCACTGGAATGTTGATTGAGTGTTTATTAAATATCGATCGAGAAGTCAATCATGGGTTGATCGAGGGCATCGATTGACACTTGACTGCAGATGTCTTTAGTACACATGATCCAATACTCGTACCCATGCTATGGAAGGTCATTAGAAATTCCACAAGGATGGGGGTCTCAAAAGCTGAAATTCTTAAAAGGATTTATGAAGCTGAACTGGAATATCCAGGAGGGGGGTACAAAGTAAAGCGTTTGATATTTATAAAAGAGAATGGCCAGGAATTTCAGCAAAAGGACGACAATAATATTACTGGGTTTTGCAGGTGGGCAAAAGTTTTTGAGTTGAACTTCTTTATAAGAAAAACTTTCTTATACATGGTCAAACCAGGTGGGCAAAATCATCCTCAATTTCCAGGGTGCCTGGCCTTGAATGAAACTCCTGAATGGCCATATAAGACTTAATTCCTCTGTCCTCAAAGCTTTTTAACCTTAATTCATTAATTAAATAAACTGATTGCAGCTCAAAACTTCTCTTAACCTTTAACAGTGGGGTAGGGTTGGGGAGGAGGACGGGGGGTACAAGTAGAAGCGACCACAGTTACATAATTATCCACGGTCTGGCTAATCCATACCTTCAGTCAAGTTGTAAAATTATCCATTTAACGCTTAGATTTCGGAAAATTGATGTCTATGGTTTTGACGGTTCTACAAAAACATGTAAGCTTAACTTAATAATCAAGGTTCTCATTCCGGCATACCTCCATCTCTTGGCTTAAGATTTGCCAACGCCACAATTTTGTGACCTTGTTGTACACACTGCATCATGTTGTAACAACTATCCTTTCCCCCACTAACAAAACGCATAAACAACACAATCGAAACATCAGTTTAGTGCAATACGTGTGATTTCCGACATGCATGAATCCGCGATCTGCCACCAACATGAGATCTATTTGTGCCTGCTTGAAATAAATTGTATGATCACCTGATTAAAGCGACAACCCTCATTTCTGTAGAGAAAAGAACCTGTGAACAGGTTGCCGTTCTTAGAAATGGCTATATCTTTTCAAAAAGAACGCTCAGTTGGGCCGCCATGTTGCAGACCTCGATAGTACAGGCCAGCGGCTGTTCACATGGCTATATGCGTGAACTACACGTGGTTTTGTTGCGCAGTTTGTTGTTGTTTCGCGGTACCTTCCCGCCATATTTGAATCCCGAATAATATACCGAAAAAGAGTACGATTTTTGGAAATATTTTATCAGATATTCTACCAGCAATGGTTGAAAACCCAAACGTGAAAGATGAACGAAATGGATCTGCCATTACAGAAGACGAGGCCGCGTTGTATGACCGACAAATTCGGCTCTGGGGTCTGGACGCTCAGAAAAGGTAGGCATTGCATTTGTATACAGCTGTTTTGTGGCGACATGCCAATCTTTACGAACTGCAGATTACTAACTGTACGAAAGGAAGCCGTAAAAGCTGGATTTTTCGGGCAAAACGTGATGTTTTACGAAAAAGATATACGATTGTAGTTTTAATTTGTAACTTCATGGATCGATCTAAACAGGAGAACAGCTGCTTTGAACACAGGCGGCCCAGACGTTGTATACGATTAATACGTGACATTATGCTGTTGGCGATTACGTTACAATTTTAGCCGTTTATAAGACAATGTATGAGAATGCTTCGAAAATTACTCTAAATGCTACGTGTAGTAAATAATTTGAATGAAATGGCTTACCTTATGTTTGCATTGCGTTGTTTTAATGTCTCTGGGTTCCTGGAGGTGGTTTAGAGCCATTTAGGCGAGTTTTACTTTCTGGCGGTTT